ACACCCAGGACTGATCTCCTTTAGGATGGACTGGTGGGATCTCCTTGCAGTCCACGGGACTCTCAAAAGTCTTCTCCAACACCACAGTTCAAAAGCATCAATTCTTTGGCACTCAGCTTTCTTCACAGTCCAACTCTCACCTCCATACATGACCACTGGAAAAACCATAGCTTTGACTAGACGGACCTTTGTTGGCAAAGTAATGTCTCTGCTTTTTAATATGCTAGCAGTAAATAAATGGTATATACCCTCTGATTCCCTTCAGTAATTGCTTTATTCCGAACCCTTGCATCACTTAATAACCACCACCCCCCACCACTGTCAGCACCTGATTTTATCTCCTTTTTTAATGAGAAATACACTTAACTCCTCACCCTACCCTGATACAACACTACAGTGTAGTGGTAGAGAGTACTGATCCTGAAGCCAGACTCCTAACTCTTATCTTGGCTCTAAAACGTATAAACGGTAAGACAAAATTACACATTCCTTCTCTGTTCAAGTAGAGATAATGATAATACCTACTATATATAATTGTTGTGAGAGTTATCTATGAAGAAGACTTTAGATAATTTCATTGCACATAGTGAATGTTCTAAAAGTATAAGCTACTGTTATTTTACTGTGCACTAACCAGTGATCCAGAACTTGATCTTTTAACAGCTTTATTCACATGTTTATTTATAAATAACCCATAAAATTCATGCAGGTAAAGCATACATTTCAGTGATTTTTAGTATATTCAGTATAGCACAAACATCATCACAATCTAACTTTAGAGCAGGCTCTAACGCTTTGCCCCAAATACAGACTTAGGCACCTACCTGAAACCCTTAAATACAGCTAACTTGAAACTTCAGTATTTATAAATTTAACTACTGACTCAAAGATAAAAGGGACTGTAACACTGGAAAAGATGATCATGGAAGACAAAATTTTAGTTATCATTGCCCTAGAATCTACTGGTAATACTTTATCCCAAAGTGTTTACTACCAGTGATCTCTCTCCTTTATCCCTCTGTTGGCCACAGAGTTGTAGAATGGCACTCAAAATCATCTCTCAAAATCAGGGGTCACTTATCATCATCTTTTCCTTTCCAAGCTACGAGCTCTCACTCTTTCTCAGACCCAGCCAGAGAAAAGGTTGACCTCTACCTAGGGGCCACATTTTCTCCTTAAGGATGATTGAGAGTGGGAACAAGGATTGAATTCAGGAAAGATCTTCTATTTCCCACCATGCAAAGTACGATATGAACCCTGGCTCCAGAAAGTCAATCCATAATAGTTGACAGTATAGCTTTCAAAGTCTGACTCATTCAGTCTTAACTAGGATCATGTGTGGTTCACTGACTGTTCTACTCAGACACTGCTATGTCAGATGCAGTCCAGTTTCTTTTTACACACCTTTCCTCCAGGTAATAGTGAAAAGAATTTCAGACCTTCATGCTCCTGTTGTGGACTGTTTTCTGAAGTTCTTATAAGGAAATACTTATACCAAAAACATGCACACTCCTAGAGAAAAATAATAATTATATTACGTCATAGAGAAGCATAAGACTGGAAATAGCAAGAAAACTTTTAACTGTAGTCAGTTTTATTAAAAATGCAATATATGTGCAAAAGATACACATAATTCATTCAAACCCTAGTGTTAAGTGATATACAGTATATGGATCTTAATACCTTTCTAAAGCATTAAATTTTCTGAATCTCAGTACACATCATGTCCCAAGGTTTTGAATAAGGAATTATGAACTTGTATAATCAAAAGCTGATTTAGGGAAAGTGGTCAAATCTGAAAAGAAAAGTTTGTGCTTGCTAGATAATACTAAAGCTCTCTGATGCATACAGCATTGTTTAAAGGAAATCTAGGCTTCCTCGGTGACTCAGAAGGTAAAAGAATCTGCCTACAATTCAGGAGACCCAGGTTCAATCCCTGGGTCGGGAAGATCCCCTGGAGAAGGATCTTCTACCCACCCTGGTATTCTTGAGTGGAGAATTCCTTGGACAGAGTAGGCTGGCAGGCTATATAGTTCATGGGGTCACGAAGAGTCAGACACAACAGAGCAACTAATACTTTCACACTTTCACAGAGGAAATTTAACACATGGTAATTGTGAGGATTATATAACTGAATCACTATAAAGTCCTTAGAATACTGACAAGTGCAGAGTAAGCGCTTAATAAACATCAGCATTACTGTCAGTACTATAGCAATTATGATATAGTTCTTTCTACAGACCAGGTGTTAGAGATGGTTATGATGCTGTGCTGTGTTGCGAAGTCCCTTCAGGAGTCTCCGACTCTGTGGGACCCCATGTTCCACCAAGCTCCTCTATCCATGGGATTCTCCAGGCAAGAATACTGGAATGGCTTGCCATGCCCTCCTCCAGGGCATCTTCCCGATACAGGGATCCATACTGTGTCTCTAAAGTCTCCTGCATTGGCAGGCAGGCTCTTTACCACTAGCACCACATGGGAAGCCCTATAGAAGAATAAAGCAAGCATATCTTCCAAACTTCGGTTTTCCAGGTCAGGAAAAAGTGGGGAAGGACAAGATCTAGGCAGAGCAGAGAATGGTAATAGGAAAAACCTTCCATGGGATAGCATAATAAGAGGTAGAATTCAAAAGTGTTGATTAAGTACTTTTGTGGCTTTTGAATAGACCTAACAAGTCTTCTTCCAGATTTCACTAGGAACAGATTGTATGAGTGTAGCAAAAAGAGAATTAGAGAGTTCCCCTAAATTGTCTCTCCTATGGGCCCCTGACTGTTGTGTATACTTAGCACCTCACCTTTCATAAGGTAAATGTCCCGTAAGGCTGTGGTTCAGATGGTGAGGGAAAGTGTAGGAGAGCACTAATTGCATGGAATTGTGGTTTTAGTAAAGGAATATATTAAAATATAGTTTGCAAATTCTGCAATCCTGGGGTAAGTGGGCCAGCCGTATTATCTATAGGAGATGTGGTAGGCAGATTTTCCTCCAGAATATACTGAGAATAAAAAGTAAAAAGTCAATTCTCCTCTCCAAACCCCTTCTCTGACCTCTCACTACTGCCATGGCACTCTTGCCCCTTTCACTGGGTTCCTAATTCTGTTACTACCTCCAACTATATATAAGAGTTTGAACTCTTTCTCCCATTAGAATATAAACTCCCTAAGGGTCAAGACCTTGTGTCATTCTCTGCTGTATTTCCAGACACTAAACAGTGCCTGAAACTGAAGACTTTTCAAAAATATTTACAGTAATAAAGTAATCGATGAAAAAGAGCAAAGCTTGACACACAAGCTTGACAAGGTAAACATAAATCGATATAATAGCACAAGTCATTGCTGTTCTGGTTAAATTTATTTTCAATTAATTGAGCTAAAATAGAAAAAAATAGGTAAGCAGACAATGACTCTAACTCACACCCATTAAAATGGCTATTGAAGAAAAGAGAAAATAACAAGTGTATGCAAAAATGTGAAGAAATTGAAACCCTTATGTACTGTTGGTAAAAATGTAAAATGATGCAGCCACTGTGGAAAACAGTTTGGTCATTCCTCAAAAATTTAAAAATAGAATTACCACATGTCCCAGTGATTCCACTTCTGGATATACACTCAAAAGAATTTAAAGAAGCAATGCAAACAGATATTTATACATGTGTTCATAACAGCATTATTTACAACAGCAAAAAGATGAAGGCTACCCAAGGCTCCATCAGTAGCTGTCATTGTTGAGTCATGTCCAACTCTTTGTGACCCCACAGACTGTAGCCCACCAGGCTCCTCTGTCCATGGGCTTCTCCAGGCAAGAACAGTGGAGTGGGTTGCCAGTTCCTCCTCCATGGGATCTTCCTGACCCAGGGATAGAACATGAAGTCTCCTGCACTGGCAGGCAGATTTTTTACCACTGAGCCACCATGGAAGCCTATACATATGCACACACATATATATGAATATTAGTCAGTCTTATCAAGAAAGGAATTTCTGCTTGCATGGATGAACCTTGAGGACATTATGCCAAGTGAAATAAGCCATTCACTAAAATGACAATTATGACTTCTATGATTCCACTTGTATGAGGTATCTAATGTAGCTAAATTCATAGAGACAGAAAGTAGAGGAGTGGTTGCCAAGGGCTGGGAGGAAGGCAGAATAAGGAGTTAAAAGTCTAATGCTGTTGTGTTTACTCGCTAAGTAGCTTTCCACTCTTTGCAACCCCATGGACTTTGCAACACACCAGGCTTTCCAGTCCTTCACCATCTCCCAGAGTTTGCTCAAATTCATGTTCATTGAATCAGTGAAGCTATCCAACCATCTTATCTTGTCACCCCTTTCTCCTCCTGCCCTCAACCTTTCTGAGCATCAGAGTCTTTTTCAGTGAATCAGTTCTTAGCATCAGGTGGCCAAATTACTTGAGCCTGAGGTTCATCATCAGTCCTTCAACGAATAGGCAGGGCTGATTTCCTTTAGGATTGACTGATTTGATCTCCTTGCACTCCAAGAGACTCTCAAGAGTCTTCAGTTTTGCAAAATGAAAAGAATTCTGCAGATGAATGGCAGTGATGACTGCACAACAACTTGAACGTACTTAGTACTATTGGTTAAGATGATAAATTTAAAGCGTGTTTACCACATTAAAAGAAAAAAAATTTAAACGGTGATAAGAACAATCCACATCAATCAAAACCAGTAGGAACAGGAGAAACTCAAGACTAGCCCAGCCTTAACACAACTTGACCACCAGGCAGTGGAAATAGGAAACCAAAGGCGTGGCAAGGGCAGGCCTCTGGGGCTCTGCACAGGGCGAGCATGTGGGGAAGCCACAGGTTAAAGACGGTCACCAGCCACCCACTGGTCAGGCTGCCACTGCGCAAGCGCATATCGCGGCTCCCGCCGAGGCTCCTTTTAAACGTACCCGGAAGTGACGTCTGTAAAGCTGAGACTCGCTCAGGGACGCGCTGAGTCCTTGGCACAAGTGAGCGGTGTTCTGACTGCGGTCCAGGGGCTGCTATGAGCTGCACCATCGAGAAGATTCTGACAGACGCTAAGACTCTATTGGAAAGGCTGAGGGAGCACGATGCGGCCGCCGAGTCACTAGTGGATCAGTCGGCGGCTCTGCATCGGCGGGTGGCCGCTATGCGGGAGGCGGGAACAGCGCTTCCGGACCAGGTCAGGCAGAGGGTACGGGCCCGTGCCCTCGGGTTCTGGGCACTTAAGGGGTGGAGGATGAGGTAAAGTGGAAACTCGGCTTGGAGTTTTTTTCCTGGTCCCAGAGCGGGGCGGTGAGACCTTTCTGCGGGGTCGGGGCTGCCATTGCTGCCCTGGAGTTCTGCCTCCTACCTCTTCAGTTGCACCTGCGGCTGTTATGTTTACGGCGCGATTAGTTTGTCTCTTGTTTGTCCAGTATCAAGAGGATGCATCCGATATAAAGGACATGTCCAAATACAAACCTCACATTCTGCTGTCCCAAGAGAATACACAGATTAGAGACTTGCAGCAGGAAAACAGAGGTTAGTCAGGCCTTTTTGTGTGTAATGATTTTCTCATATCCAGTAATATTTCAAAAGTTCTTGCAAAAATGACAAGTCACAAAAGTGCACATTGCTGTGGTGGTGGTTCAGTCACCAAGTCGTGTCCGACTCTTGGGACGCCATGGACTAGCCTGCCAGGCTTCTCTATCCGTGGGCTTCATAGCCTGTGCTGACCCAATAGCAGTAAAGTTTGTTACATTACTCTTTTCAAGGTCATCTGACTGATTTTGTGTTTAAACGCAGCTTACCCAAGAGGTGCTTAGTAGAGTTGAATTATTATTGCATGGCTTGTTAGGTATCTGGAGACGGAGGTTTGCATAACGGAAGAGTTAATATCCTCAAGGGCTTAAGATTTAATGTTTAAATATTAATTGAGATAAACATTAAAGCTAAGATTGAAGGGATTTTTATATTCTTATGCAAGGTGGAAGAGCTAAATTTAATCCTCAGGTGTATATTCTTGGGCTTGGTGAATATATTGTAATGATAGTAGTATGAATAGTTATTTATATTTACAGAGGGCTTTCACATATATCATGCAATACATATATGTATTGTCATATGTTCATTTTGAAGTAGACAAGCCATGTTTTTATTATTACAAGGCAGATAAGAAATAGGCTCAGAGAGGTTACATGATTTAAGAGTAGTAATCTAGTAATTCACAGAATTGAACTTAAACTCATGTCTTTTGATGCCACATCCCATGTTGTTTCTACCAGATTTTGCTGCTTCTGCCTAGAAAGATATTTTTCACATAGACCATGACTGTTGAGTTTTGTGGACTTAAACACCAATTTACATCTTTGGGTTCATAATATTTCATGGCATGTCATAAAATCCAGCTGTTTGAGTTTGGCTTTAGGAGGTATCTCAGACATCACTGCCAAGTTATTTTGTTTTTTGATAGAGCTATGGGTTTCCTTGGAGGAACACCAGGATGCTTTGGAACTCATCATGAGCAAATACCGGAAACAGATGTTACAATTAATGGTTGCTAAAAAAGCAGCGGATGCTGAACCAGTCCTGAAAGCTCACCAGTCTCACTCTGCAGTAAGAAACTTTGATGGATAAATTCTAAATGAATTGAAATCTTGACATTGTTTTAGCTCATGTGCTTGCTTTTGAAGTAAGCTTGTTTTCCTTTCATGTTTACCACATTTGCTGTAGGTTTTAGTATAGCTTTATAAAAATATGAGTAGAAAAAAGGGGGTAAAGGGCCTTTTATCTGAGTAAGACTCAAGTTTGTCCCTCCACCAAGATCTCTCTTCAAAATGTTAATGAATACTTAGTTTTTCCACTGAACAATGTCAGTTAGTGTTAAAGTGAAAATGAAAGTCACTCAGTCATGTCTGACTCTTTGGGACCCCGTGGACTATACAGTCCATGGAATTCTCCAGGCCAGAATACTGGAGTGGGTAATCTTTCCCTTTTCCAGGGGATCTTCCCAATCTAGGGATTGAACCCAGGTCTCCTGCATTGCAGGCAGATTCTTTACCAGCTGAGCCACAAGGGAAGCCTGTTAGTGTTAACAGTGTTCAGAAAATACTTGAGTTGTTGTTATGGTACATTTCACTAAACTGTAAGCTCCTTGCTTGTAAGGAGCATGAATTTATCTTTTATCCCTAACATAGTGCTTGGCACATAGCAGGGGGTCGGTAAACATAGCATCATACTATGTTGTTAGGAGAGAGAAGTATGGTTTAAAAAAATATATATATGGCCTAGTTTCTATACTTGCATTGCTTATGGTTTAATTTGGGAGGTGCAGTAATTGTTCTTAAGTTTGTAGAGTGCTTTAGAGTTGTCTTTGTACGTTTGCATGTACTATATCATTTAATCCTAAATTAATAGATTGATACCTCACTATTTGCTGCAGTGGAATTTATGGAAGATAAGTTTCATCTTAGATTCTATTGAAAGCATTTTAATGAGTTTAACTAAGGTCATAGGGAACAAGGATCTTTTAAATATGTGAATGGCTTTCATCTTTGGTCCAAAGGAGAAAAACCTGATCCTTGAAGAAGACAGAATTTAGCTTATATGAAAAGCTTGCTAAAGAGATATGTCCAAAGATAGAATAAGGTACCTTGGAATGTGGCAAGCTTCCTGCCAATAAAAGTATTTAAATTTAAGTTAAACAGCCATTTAGAGATAGTGTCCAACATCTAGTGGATGATTAGACTAGAATCAATCTTCTGAAAATGAATTATCTGTGAATATTACAAGATAAGTTTATAATGGCTTTGCCTCTGAGGACTTAGATTGTAGTGAAATTCCTGTAGCCTCTGTACCACAGATTAAATGAATTTTTAACATCATAATACACATGTTCTCATGAACTTCATATCAGCTAAAAAAAAAAAAGACTTTTTCACTTTTTTATTCTGAATATCTTCACAGGAAATTGAGAATCAGATTGACAGAATCTGTGAAATGGGAGAAGTGATGAGGAAAGCAGTTCAAATGGATGATGACCAGTTTTGTAAGATTCAGGAAAAACTAGCGCAATTAGAGGTAAGATTATTGCTATTTTAGGTTCACAATATCTTAGGGGGTTTTCAGAGTCTGAAAGGTATGCCATCATCGTATATCACTGCAGTGTATTGATGTTTCCTTTGTGGTCTGATTTAAAATTAAAACATCCTCCATACGCTTTTGAAGAAAGGAAGGGTAATCAGAAGCAAACAATGAAAATGCTTATTGGCTAGAAATTGATATATCATATTGAGACGGTGAAGGGAGTGGAAGGGACATGTGAGCCAAAGTCCCTTATTTGCTGTAAAAAGAACTCAGATAGATACTGTTTAAACTTAATGATCAGGAAATAGCAGTACAAGACATATTATTTAGAATTATGGAAGTAAACACCAAAAGAAATAAATAAAAATATTAAAAGTGGTTGCCTTTGGGAAACAAAGCCAAGGGACTTCAGACTATTTTACAGGTCTTGTAGTCTTGATTTTTTTTTTAATCAATTTTTATTTTATAGTCTTGATTTTTTTAAAGCTGTTTTCATGTAATGTTTTGATTAAATTGGGAATAATTTACAAAGAAAGGCTTGGAGTATTAGTGTGCCCATACAGTTACTAAAGAGAAACATTACAATAGGTGATTTGAATGTTCCTTATTACAAATTCTGCCATGGGCCCTTTGAAAATTACCAGAGAGAAAAAGACAGAATCCCTCCTTGGAGTCTAATGATAGCAATAAGAGTAATAACTCTTTTTGGTATGAAAATGTATGTAAATGCTAGGAGAGAGATACAGGGTATGTCTTGGTGAAACCTGAAAATGCTATGGTTTACCAGAATTTCCAGCAGAGAGAATAAGGATGAAGAGTGCAAACTGCCGTATCTGGAAATCAAGGGGAGTGGCAAAGACCCAATTAGGATAGGAGTTAGTTAAAATGATAGAATGACCTTGTGTATGCCATCCATAATTTACTTCAGTATGGAAACAGCCCTAAGGAAATGTGAGACAAGTCTTACTTAATACTTTTAAGTGGAAAAAATGTGGGCAGCGGATGGAGACCGGCAATACCACATCCAAGTTATCTGAGTATGGGCAGGTTTTTGGACTTTTGGGAGCCAGTGTCCTCATCTCAAAGAGAACATGGATGTAGGCAATGGTCCCTACCCTACATATATACATATAATAATCATACAATATTGTATGAGATAATATATGTAAGACACCCATGTGATACCTGGCTATGTGCCCAGGTATTCTTTTCCCCCTTTCCTTCCTTTCTCCAAAGCTGTAGGACATCTAGGAGAGAAGGTTAAGCAGAGTGGAAATATTGTTAGGAATTTGAAAGATAGAAGAAACAATAGTAAAACTTCTGGGAACCATAAAGATTTTGACAAGCAGTGAATTTCTCTAATGGAGCGGGACCCTGTTTTTTTCATGTGTAGTCTTAACACGTGACATGTGGAAATTACTCGGTAAATGTTTTTTAACTGAATAGATAAGTAGAATTTTAGGAAATTCTCAGTTCTTCTGTTTCTTTAAAACTTTTAAAAGTAAAATAATATACTTTCAAGCCGCAAACAGTGGGTTCTGATACGGTTTGACAGAATACCTGAAATGAACATACACTTTTTTTTATTTTCCAGCTTGAAAATAAGGAACTTCGAGAATTATTGTCCATCAGCAGTGAGTCTCTTCAGGTCAGGAAGGAAAGCTCAGTGGACACTGCTTCCCAAGCCATCAAATAATTCAACTTCTGAATAATGCCTGGAGATTGTTTATCAAGGAAGGAAGTTAATAACTCTATTCGAGTATTGTCCGTTCAGTGTCTTGCCTCAGACTTGATTTAATGTTGATTAAATGTATCAAGTGGCAATTTAGAATTTGCAGTCAAAAAGTGGCTGTCCACTAAATAGTTTTAAGGTGTGTTAGTAAAAGTACACACTGAGTTTCACTATTCCTTTCTGTAAGAGAGACTAATTTTCATTTCTGGGAACTTGATTTATATAAACTGTATTTTCAGTTCATTTTTGTTCTTTCATATCTCTGAAACTTATAGCATTTTGTTATAAGCCAGCAGTTTTATTTTATATCAGATTATAAATTGCAATTCTAAAAAATTTTAAAAACAGATTATCTTTGTAGGTCTGTTTGGCATAAACCTGGATTTTTTTCCACTTGAGAAAATAAGACAGTTCCACAGAAGTTGATTGCCAGATTCTCTAATTTGTAACATCATTCACCTTTTATGAAGTTTTAAGTCTCTCTGGTGCTAAGAGTTGGCACATTATGGCCTGGTGTCTTTACTCTTGAGAGAACCTATTGCTAGTCCTCACAAAATATACTTGAAAGTAAGTCAACTGTTTGTTTATTTCCAGTGGTAGTATAATCATCATATTGTTCAAAGAATGTTGAAAAATTTGTCCTGTGTATGTGTATGCACATACATGTGCTTAGTTAGATGCTGAAAGTAAATTTCATTTATTCTGTTAGATATTATTAGTCAATTCTTCAGTTTTGTCCTACTTGGAAATCTTCAACTTGGGTAGTTTATCCAGTGTGAAGAATATATAATAAGTTTATTCACATCATAGTTATTGGTACTACATTCTACAGTTTATATATAACTTCCATTTGTAATTAAGAACCATCACTTGTTTGGATGTCTTGCATCACTAGTACTAGTAGTTGGCTTTTTTTTTAGATCCACTTTTGACAAGGAAGCAAAGTTTTATCACTTAATGAGAGTTTATGTCATTTCTAGAAGCTGTGTTGAGAGTCAATGCTAAGTGATCAGCTAGGCTCACTCGCCATTTAATTCCCTCATCTCAGTTTATCTTATTTCAAATTTATAAATTACTCATGTAATACTATCAATTTAGTTTTGCCCCCAAATAATTGAAATAATTATGCTAAATCTGTCAATATTTCCCAATTACCCTAAGCATTGTACTGCATGGGATAGGCACATCACTAGAAAGATTTTTGTTAGTGCTTTGTGTGGTGTAAACTTTCTTTTGTACTGTCATAAAGAATTAACACCAATTAAAACAACAGAATTTATCCAAGATATCCTAAAAGCATCTGATCCCAGTAATACTAACAGACTTTGCCTATAGTGGTAGGCTGTAATGAATTGGTATATGTCATTTTTTAATTTGTAAGATTTCTATTCGGAGTCTTGTAAACAATTTGAAAAACATTTCCACCCAAAGTGTGGGTCTTCTTATCTCATTTCCTGAGTATGTAAACTTTTAGTCTGATCATTTGCCTTGAAGTGCATGCCGTAAGTGCCACCATTTCCCACAGTTCCATTCAGGAGGCAGAAAAATGCCATTTGTTAGCTGCCATGGCCAATTTTTGGTGAAAATGATAAAAAAATCAAAAGACCCATAAAAATATAACATAGTGTCCCTTTATCTACTCTATGTCCCTTTAGAGATGTTTGTAGAGTTGTTTATATCTCAGATGTCAGGATAAATATAAATACTCACTTTTCCCCTGGCAAATAAAAAACTTGAAGCCTGAGTCTCAACAGCTCTCAAGACCCTGTATAATATAGAGCCTAGCTGGTGTTAATACTATGAAAATAGTGTGTAGTTAAAGAGGAGAAATAATGTTCTTGACTTTGGTTTGAGTATGAAAGTTTACTTTGCAGTTGATGAAAGAACTTGACTGGTTTCCAAATTTTAGTACAAACTTATCTTTTTGAATAAAAATCTCATTTTGAGAATAACAGCTAATATAACTCAGTAATGAGTCAAAGTATTAGAAAGTGCAAAGGTTTATTTTTCACTTATATAGCAGCCTGTCAATTAGGGCATTTCATAAATACTTCCTAATTATCACATTATAGTTAGTATAACCAAAAATAGTTATTTCTGAAATGGTTTTAGAGATGTACTCATAGTTAGAAATCATAAGTTACATGATTACAAGTCAAAATGTAAAATTAAAACAGTTTGGAAGTGTCTTGAAAATTAAGTATTATTGATATCTACCTTTATTGTGTACTAGTCATTAGTTATGTCTGACTCTTTGTGACCCCATTGACTGTAGCCCGCCAAGTTCTCTGTCCATGAACTTTATTAGTATCATGCATAATTTGATTCAAACATTGAAAGTCTATTTCAGTGTTCCTCAAAATGTGGTTCACTGACCTAAAATAGAAGTTTGGGGACGGAATCTAGGAATTTGTATTTTAGTAATCATCCCAGATAACTTCTAAGGACATTAGTTTGAGAATGTCAAACTAATTGACAAAAAAATTCAGTGTTTTCAAAAAAAAATCTGGTAGAGAGGCAAATGTGATAAATAAAAGGATGTATTGAGTACAGAGGAGGAACTCTCTACAACTTGAGAATCCTATAGAGACAAAATAAGGCTGAATGCTGAAGAAGCTGAAGTTGAATGGTTCTGTGAAGACCTACAAGATCTTCTAGAACTAACACCCAAAAAAATGTCCTTTTCATTTTAGGAGACTGGAATGCAAAAGTAGGAAGTCAAGAAATACCTGGAGTAACAGGCAAATTTGGTCTTGGAGTGCAGAATGAAGCAAAGCAAAGGCTAATAGAGTTTTGCCAAGAGAACACACTGGTCATAGCAAATGCCCTCTTCCAACAACACAAGAGAAGACTCTATACATGGACATCACCAGATGGTCAATAATGAAATCAGATTGATTATATTTGCACCAAAGATGGAGAAGCTCTATACAGTCAGCAAAAATAAGACTGGGAGCCAACTGTGGCTCAGACCATGAACTCCTTATTGCCAAATTCAGACTTAAATTGAAAAAAATAGGGAAAACCACTAGACCATTCAGGTATGACCTAAATCAAATCCCTTATGATTATACAGTGAAAGTGAGAAATAGATTCAAGGGGTTAGATCTGATAGAGTGCCTGAAGATATATGGACGGAAGTTCATGACATTGTATAGAAGGCAGGGATCAAGACCATCCCCAAGAAAAAGACAAAATAGTTGTCTAAGGAGGCCTTACAAATAGCTGTGAAAAGAAGAGAAGCGAAAGGCAAAGGAGAGAAGGAAAGATATACCCATTTGAATGCAGAGTTCCAAAGAATAGCAATGAGAGATAAGAAAGCCTTCCTCGGTGATCAATGCAGAGAAATAGAGGAAAACAATCCAATGGGAAAGACTAGAGATCTCTTCAAGAAAATTAGAGATACCAAGGGAACATTTCATGCAAAATGGGCACAATAAAGGACAGAAATGGTATGGACCTAACAGAAACAGAAGATACTAAGAAGAGGTGGCAAGAATACACAGAAGAACTGTACAAAAAAGATCTTCATGACCCAGATAATCACAATGATATGGTCATTCACCTAGAGCCAGAAATCCTGGAATGCAAAGTCAAGTGGGCCTTACAAAGCATCACTACGATAAAGCTAGTGGAGGTGATAGAATTCCAGTTGAGCTATTTCAAATCCTAAACGATGATGCTGTGAAAGTGCTGCACTCAATATGTCAGCAAATTTGGAAAATTCAGCAGTGGCCACAGGACTGGAAAAGGTCAGTTTTCATTCCAATCCCAAAGAAAAGCAATGCCAAAGAATGTTCAAACTACTGCACAATTGCACTCATACACGCTAGCAAAGTAATGCTCAAATTCTGCAAGCCAGGCTTCAGCAGTACAAAAACTGTGAACTTCCAGATTTTCAAGCTGGTTTTAGAAAAGGCAGAGGAACCAGAGTTGAAATTGCCAACATCCACTAGATCATGGAAAAAAGCAAGAAGAGTTCCAGAAAAACATCTACTTTCGCTTTATTGACTATGCCAAAGCCTTTGACTATGTGGATCACAACAAACTGTAGAAGATTCTTCAAGAGATGGAAATACCAGACCACCTAACCTGCCTCCTGAGAAATCTGAATGCAGGTCAGGAAGCAACAGTTAAAACTGGACATGGAACAACAGACAGGTTCCAAATAGGGAAAGGAGTATGTCAAGGCTGTACATTGTCACCCTGCTTATTTAACGTATATGCAGAGTAAAACATGAGAAACACTGAGCTGGAAGAAGCACAAGCTGGAATCAAGATTGCCAGGGAAAAGTCAATAACCTCATATACGCAGATGACACCACCCTTATGGCAGAAAGCAAAGAAGCACTAAAGAGCCTCTTGATGAACGTGAAAGAGGAGAGTGAAACAGTTGGCTTAAAACTCAGCATTCAGAAAACTAAGATCATGGCATCTGGTCCCATCACTTCATGGCAAATAGATGGGGAAACAGTGTCAGACTGTATTTTGGGGGGCTCCAAAGTCACTGCAGATGGTGACTGCAGCCATGAAATTAAAAGACACTTGCTCCTTGGAATGAAAGTTATGACCAACTTAGACAGCATATTAAAAAGCAGAGACATTACTTTGTCAACAAAGATCCGTCTAGTCAAAGCTATGGCTTTCCCAGTAGTCATGTATGGATGTGAGAGATGGACTATAAAGAAAGCTAAGCGCTGAAGAATTGATGCTTTTGAACTGTGGTGTTGGAGAAGACTCTTGAGAGTCCCTTGGACTGCACGGAGATCCAACCAGTCCATCCTAAAGGAGATCAGTCCTGGGTGTTCATTGGAAGGACTGATGCTGAAGCTGAAACTCCAATACTTTGGCCACCTGATGCGAAGAACTGACTCACTGAAAAAGACCCTGATGCTGGGAAAGACTGAAGGTGGGAGGAGAAGGGGACCACAGAGGATGAGATAGATGGTTAGATGGCATCACCA